CCCTCCCCCCCCCCCCCCACCCAGCCCCAGCCTTCTCCGTCCTGTTCTCTCCTCCTCGCTGCCGGGGGGCCCGGGGAGGCGCCGCTCGGAGCTCACAAAGGCGGGCGACGGCGGACGGAGGAAGGGGGGCGCCCCAGCGGCACCCCCCCGGCCCGAGTCGTTGTTCCGCCCTGCCGCCTTTGTGCGCCGCCGCCCCCCCCCCCCCAGCCCCGGAGGAATGGAGGCCCGGGGGGAGGGGGGAGGGGGGAGTGGAGCCCCCCCACCCCGGGCCCTTCCTGCCCGGTGGGCTGGGGGCGAGGAGGAGCCTTTTGGCCGTCTCCTCCCTTCCCTCCGCCACACCTTTCCCTGGGGATTTTTTGCATTGGAGCGGGGGTTGGGGGCTTCGGGAGCACCCTTGCCTTGAGGCAGGAGGCAAAGGGCAGCAATTCTCCATGCTCTGTTCTTGCCCCTCCCTCCCTCCCTCCCCCAATCCAGCAGCTCTTCCTGCCTCTGGCCAACTTTCCTCCACTTTCTCAGTTTTTAAAGTATAACTTCAAGGGGTCCCTTCAGCCAGAAATTGCTCCATTCTGTATCGTGCTGGCTCGAAGAGCCCCAGGCAGCTGCTCCAGCCCCGAGGCCTTGGCTGAGCACCTACTGTGTGCGCTGAGGGAGATGCGAAGATCCCCGGGGTGGGGGTGGCACCAGTGGGAAAACAGAGCCCCCAGCAGGTGGGTCCCACGGGCGGTGGGCGGAAGCCTTCCCTCAACTCCTTTCCCAACTCTTAATCGGTGGGCTGGGGAGCGCCAGAGGGACTTTGGAACTCTCTTCTGGAACCTCGGAGTGCTCATTGCCATGAGGCAAGCGAGGCCTGAGCCCCTGTGGCCCCAAGGGCTCAGTGGTCTGGGGACCTGGGCAGCCTGGCACGGGGAGAGAAGTTGCTAAGCACATTGGTATGTATGTATGTGGTGGGGGGTGCCGCCGAGCAGGATGGGACAGGATGGGGACTGGAGAGCCTTTGCCTTCAGGCATCTGGGGTTCACTCACACCCATGTGTGGGAGTAGGAGGGGGGTGGGGAACAGGGCAACCGAGCTGGTTCCTTGGGTCTCTGACTGCAGAGAGCACTTGGCTAGAAACAAGCCTCCGTCTGACGGGGAAGCTAAGAGACGGTCTTGGGGCCCCAGGTCCTTGCTCCTTCCTCCTCCATGTTTCCCCAGTTTCACCATCGCTCGTCCCCTCTACTTGTCCTACCCCAATCAGAGGAATCAAGGGCCTGCAGAGACCCCACAGGATACCAGCAGATCGAGAAAACTTCCAGTTGCCATCCTCTTTCTATCTTCAGGGCCTTGAGAGGGGGGAAAGCTGCAATCAGGGCAGGTGGGCGGGAATGAACTGCTGCCCTCCAGGCTCCGACGGGCCTCAACGGCCACCTCTGGGGCTGCCGCCTTCTCCCAGAGAGCTTCTGGGCCAGCCTCCTGTGGTCTTCCCCTGCGTTCTGAGCGCTCCCCCCACCCCATCCACACTTTCTCCCTCACTGAGTCACCCCCATGCCTCTTTCTCACATCCTTTTGCTTCTTGCACATACCAGCACTTTTCCTCCCAGCTCTGTTTCTGTCTCTCTCTGTCTCTCTCTTTCCTCCTCTTCCCCCTTTCCCTCTCTGTCCTCTCCCTCCCTCCTCTTTCTCTCTATTTCTTCCTCCTTTTTCTTCTTCTTTCTCTTTCTCCCCCTCTCCCCTCCCTCCTTCCTTTTTTTCTTCCCTCCCCTCTCCTATCTCTCCCCCCTCTCTCCGTCTTTCCTTTCCTCTTTTCCTCCCTTCTCCCCTCTGTCCCCTCCCCCTCACTCTTTCCCTCTCTCTTTTCCTTCCCCCCTCTTCCCCTCTCTCTCTCCCTCTGTCTCCCCCTACCCCCTTTCCTCTTGGCTTTTAGTCTCAGCTCTATCAGGGAGCTGGTAGCCCCACCCCTCCCCCAGCCCCTGTAAACCTGCCTTAATTGCTTCCTCCTTGGGAAAAAAAACCTCAAAATAAATAAGGGCTGGGGGTCTCTGTTTCCAGGTTGCAGGGCCTTGCTTTCAAGGGCCAGCAGGGGCTGGCTCAAGGTGCTGCCAGGCACTGGCTGGCGGGGGCTTTTGCCCGGGAGTCCGCTCACATGGCCTCTGGGGCCAGTGGGCTCTGCAAGGTCAGCTGGCTGGTGACCAGGGCCTCTGGGCTTCCCTGGCTGACCCCTGAAGGTGAGGGAGGGACACTTCCCACTTCCCTTACTGAAAACTTAGATTAGGCAGCCCCCCAGTAGCCTTGGGGTGCTGCTTAGCTCCATGCAGCTGCTGCGGTTCCATTTGAGGCCTATCTTGCTCTCATCCTGACTTTCCCCTCCCTCCATGGGCAGCTGCCTTCTGATGTTTGAAGCCAGCACATAGGGCCTGAATTCACACTTCCCCCATGTAAGCTGGTGGCCATTTGGGCAGGGGTAGCTGGGGGACCCTAACTCTGGACTCTGGACCCTCTTTCCCCACTCCCCTAGCCCTGCCCTTAGTGCTGCTTGGGAGGCTGCTAGGGCCAAGGGCTGACCTTTCTTTCTAACAGCTGATGGGGCATGGGGGGTGAGGGGGTGGGGGTGGGGTCCTGCTGAGTAAGAGATTTGGAGTATTTGTGTATCGAAGTCTGGGCGGGAGAGAGAGAGCAACGAACCCTTGCTGATGGCACATCTAATGATTCCTCCCTGGGATGGAGCAAGACTTGGCCATGTGGGCTGCATTGCAGCGGCAGAGGGCAAGGGTGCAGATAGCACTTGAGCTTGGGAAGTCTTTGGGCAGTGGCCCCTCAGCCCCATTCTCCTTTCTGTGTGTGTGGGTGTGGGTGTGGGTGTGGTGTGGTGTGGTGTGGGTGTGGTGTGGTGTGGTGTGGTGTGAGGAGATGCCTTCCAGGTAGGATGAGACCCAAGCCTGTGTGTCTGCATGGCAACAAGAGAGCCTTGCTGCCCTCCCCTCCATTTGTGGGCTTTCCATATTGTATGGTTGGCAAGTAAGCCCAGCCCTTGGGCCTGAGGCCCAGGCCAGTAACCTTATAGCACAGCTTCCCATCTCCTGGGTCTTAAGCAGCCCCTTTTACCTTGCTTTTCCTCCAACCACTCCCCTTGCTTGGCCTAGACTAGGGAGTGGGCAGTGGAGATGGGGGCTGTTCAAGGGGGTCTTCCTGTGAGGCTGTCCCCAGAACCCTTTGCTGCTGGTCTTGGATGGAGTTAGGGGAACCAGGAGAAATCTTTGTGGGGAATTTTGCACCCAGATTGAAGGAGAGCCGGTCCATGCTGTGAATGGAGATGGGGCCTCCAGTCTGGGCCTCTCGGCCCTGAGGACTGTGGGCAGGGGCCTGCTGCCTGGAGACTTGCTTGGGCCTCCACTTCTTTCTAGCCTGCAGGCAGCCTGGGCCAGCTGGTCAGCATCCCTCTGGCCCCTGTGAGCATCTAAGTGAGGTGGCAAGAGGCTCAAGGTGGGGGTGAGGTTTGTTCCTGAGTCCCCCACCTGTTACGTGGGGGAGCTGCTACTTCTGGGGCCTCCCCCCACCCCAGACTGTCCAGGTCTGGTTCTCCAAAACCATCTAGACTCTGGTTCCCATGTAGGGGGGAAAGGGGTGTTCCTCGGGGTGACCCAGGGCCCACCAGGATCAAGCCTGGATGGGGGGGAAGTCTTCAGGGGTTACCATGGTAACTTGCTCTGGGCTCCCTGCTGAGCCATGTCAATCCCCTTAGTTTCCAGAAAAGGGCTTTGTCTGGGGGTGGCCTGGGCAAGAAAGCACTCCTCAGTCATGGGGGTGGGGTAGGCTAAGGCCTGGAAAGGTGAAACTGGGGTGGCCAAAAGGCCTGTGCTGCCACCACTGGGAGAAGGCAGAGGGGAAGGAAGGCTGCAGAGCCCTGCCATATCTGTTCAGCAATGGGGAGCACTGGCACAGAACGAAGGGAGCTTCCAGGCTAGCGGTAGGCCTCACGACAACCTCCTCTTGTCTCTGTTATTGTGACTTAGGGCCAGGACTGCTGTGGGGTTTGGGACGAACTCGGGCTGAGCTGATTCCCCTGGGACCTGGAGAGAGGGGATCCTCATTGGTAATTAGCCGGTTAGAATCAGCCAGCATTGATTAGGCAACTGCTCTGTTCCAGGCACTATTACACGCTCCAGAGACACAGGCGGAAACATTTCCGATCCTCAGGGAGTGTAGATCTATGGCCGGGGGGTAACCCGCACATAGAGAGGTCTGTACAAAATCAGTACTTTGGGAGTGGTGGCGCTGGCTGGGGCAGGATATAGGGCATTATATGTGTCGGGGGCAGCCATGCAAAGAGATGGAGATGGGAAATGGAGTGAGGAACGGCAGTAAGATAGTTTGCCTGGACCATAGGGAGTGGGAGGGGGAGTCATTTCCATAAGACTCAAAAGGTAGGGCAGCAGCAGCTTGAGGAGGACCGACGTGCCAAGTAGAGGAAGCCACATTTGATCCTTGAGGTAATAGGAAGCCAGGAAGGGACTTTGTAAGAGCTGGGCCTGGCCTAGAGAGAGCCTCTGGGCAGGGAGGCCCAGTAAAGAAGCCAGGGTGGTGGCTGTGGTGGTGGAGAGAAGGCCTGGGAAAGGAGATGCTGGGAGGAAAGGACAAGATTGAGCATCGGAGTGGCTATACAGGGCTGATGCTGAGGGTAGTTGGGTAGCAGGCTAAGGGCTGAGGCCAGGGCACTGTTCTAGGCAGGAGGGCTAGCCGTGCCACATCATGCCGGAAGGGCCACGCCACATTTTGGGGCATAATATCAGGGCAGGACCACTGAGTGGAAGTAGTATTCCGTGTGTGTGTTTGTGGGGGGGATGGGGATCATTCACAATGATTTCCCTGTTTCAGTCAGTGCCAGCCTGAGACCTTGCGCCCCCCCCCCCCACCCATGATACTTGGCTCAGTCCTCTTCTCCTTCCTCAGTGCTAGGAGACCCTCACTTCTAACCTCCCAACTACCTCCTAACTGGGCTTTCTGACTCAGTCTAGGCCTCTCTGACTCTACTATCCTATATTACTCCTCACACTTCCATGTGTCCCCCGGTTTTGGAAGAGCTCCCCATTGCTGACAAGAGAAAGTTGACGTTCCTGGCCTTGTGCAGCCTGCGCCCCAGGCCTTCCCTCTCCTTACCGCTTGCCCCACCCCCCCCCACCCCTTTCTGCCCACCATTTCTGGCCTGGCCTCCTTCGCACTCTCTCTGCTTGTGCCCATCACTGTGGCCCTTAGTCCAGAGTGCAGCCTCCTGCCAGCTTGGCGTGGTGGGCCTTTGTTTGCCTTGGGCTTCTCTCTGTCTAGACCAGAAACACCAGTTCCTAGCATGTAACACTTACTCCCAGATCTCTGGAATCCCCAGGGAGCAGGTAGCCATTTGTCTGAATTCTAGGCCCAAACCGAGACTTTTCCTGAACAGCTTAGTTCCTGGTTGGAACTCTGTTCCTCACCCCCAAAGTCCATCTCTTTCCCACCCTCAAAGCCCAGGGAGCTTGGGAGAAAAAGGCCCTATTTGGGGCGAGATTCCCTTGTGTCTTGGGGGTCTGTGGGCAGAGCTTCCTGTTTCCTGCCCTCCTAGGTGTGCGATGAATCAAGACCTGAACCTGCCCCTTGTGAGTTGGGCTTAGGGCACTGACTGCTCTAGAAAGCCAGCACTCCCCTTGCTCTCTGGGCTGAGGGAGGGCCCCAGGGTATGGGCTCTGGAGTCCCTGCCTTTTCTCTGTTCTTGTGGCCAGCCTTTACCTCCCCTTCTTTGTGGGGCTGGGCTCCCTAGTGAGAATGGCAAAGGAGAGAAGACCCGTGCCATGGTGCCTGTGCCATGAGTGTGAGGACTGTTGTGGAGAGGCATCGCCACCCCGCCATCTGGGCTTCTGGCTTTTGGTGATTGCTAGAACCGTACCAACCCCCCTCCCCGCCCCCTGTCTGTGTGTCCCTGTCGTCCCCCCCCCCCCAGGACAGAATTTTCCCTGTGCCCAGCCCTTGCTGGGTTTGCTGTTGGGTGAAGAAGGGGGAGGGGGCAGGTGAGGTTTCCTCACCCCTGGCTGGGAGCATGGAGGGTGGTGGCTAAGGCAGGTGAGGGCTTGCTGGGCTCTTTAGGATGGGAGTGGGGAAGGATGAGCAAAGGGACAGGAGGTGGAGGAGGAGGTGTATGTGACAACACCCTGCTTTGGAAGAACCCCGGCCTGGAGACTCAGGAGGTCATTCATTGGCATCTAGTCCATTGGCTACATCACCTGGCTGCATTAGGGCCTAGGGCTCCCTTAGTCAACGTGTCCCACCCTGGGGAGGTGTAGGAGGCTGCCTGCTCTTCCCTCCTCTTGGGCAGGCTGCCAAACCATCATGGGCCCCGTTAATCTTGGGGGGAGGCTCCAGCTCTCACCACTTCCTCCCTCTCGGGCAGGTTCCTGAGCGGGAAGGGATTGGTGATCTACCCGAAGATTGGCGACAAGCTGGACATCATCTGTCCCCGGGCGGAGGCCGGCCGGCCTTATGAATACTACAAGCTGTACCTGGTGCGCCTGGAGCAGGCAGCGGCCTGCAGCACTGTGCTGAACCCCAAAGTGCTGGTCACCTGTAACCAGCCTGAGCAGGAGATCCGCTTCACCATCAAATTCCAGGAGTTCAGCCCCAACCACATGGGTCTGGAGTTCCAGAGGCAGCAGGATTACTACATCACATGTGAGTGCCCTGCCTGCCCGCTGGCGTTTCCCCTCCTCACTAGCGCTTCATGCATTCCCTGGACCTGTCCCCAGCTTCATCCCCATGCCTGTGAGCAGGCTGGCGATCACCATTGACCTGGCCCTGCTTTGCCAGTGACCTTGTCTCTAGGCCTTTTCCCCTTCACTTGTAGTGAGGAGGATGGGGGCAGGGTGGGCCTCGAGAAATGGCTTGTATGTCTGCCATGGGGGGCGGGGATAACATGATAAATGAATCTGACAAGGAGAGTTGGGGTAGTGATGCTATCACCACCACCGCCACTAAATAGGAAACTCTAGGTCTGGGAAAGGCCGGTACTGGCCCAAGGTCAGTTCAGTCAGGTTCAGGATCTGGCATCGCTGCCTCCCAGATCTTTCTACTGTTTCTCTTCCTTCCCTGCCCCTGGCATCCACGATGAAGACGTCTGCAGAGGCTTCTGAGAAGGGACATAGGAGGCTGCTAAACACCTTGGCCACCTGGACCCTTTGGCACAGTCCAGGCCCCTTTGGGCTACCCTCCCAGAGGACAACTTTCTCTACTGAAGCTGGGGGGGTGGGCAGCTGGCTGCTGAGAAGGCCCAGGCCAAGGGAGCTGTGTGCCCTGGGGCAGATAGTGCTGGGGGGGAATCATATCCTTCCGTTGTGGTGGCTGGGAAACTGCAGGTCAGCCTGGATGCTACCCCGCCTTACCCTCAGAGCGGGAGAACCTGGGAGCTACGATTGGCCAACCCCCAGGCCCCAATGGAAGTCCCCTGAGAGGAGTCGTACTGTTTCCCCCAGAGGCTGATTTCATTCTCCATGCCCTTTCTCCTGGGACATTGGGACATTCGAGGATTTCTGAATGCACTAGGCCCTGGTGCCTCAGGCTATTAGGGGACCCTTCTTTGTTCCCCATGGCTGGGCTGCAGGCTCCCCCAGTCTCTGAGCCCCACCTTCTCCATTTCTTCTAGCCACATCCAACGGGAGCCTGGAAGGGCTAGAGAACAGAGAAGGGGGGGTATGCCACACTCGGACCATGAAAATTGTCATGAAGGTCCAGCAGGGTGAGTAGGCTGACCTTTGATCTGTATGGCTCTGGCACTGCCGCCTGGATGGTGGGGGTGGGGGACCCCTAGACTGTGCCAGGGGCTCTTGGCTAGCCCAGCCTCTCTTTGCCGTGTCACCAGATCCCAATGCCATGATACCTGAGCAGCCAACCACGAGCCGGCCAAGCAAGGAGACGGACAACAGGGTGAAGGTGGCAACGCAGCCCCCCCGAGGGCGGGGCCCTTTTGGTGATGACAGCAGCGGTAAGCGTGGTGAGTGTCATGGATCTCGAGCCGGCTGGCATCGCCAGCACTGCTAGGAGCCGTTGTCCTGGGCGCCGCTAAGCACTTGTCTCCCTGTCCTCCCCCCCCCCCCCCCCGCAGAGACTAGTGGTCAGGACGGGAAGATCCCCAGCGGCAGCGGTGCTGGTGGTGGGGCCGACGGCTTCTTCAGCTCCCGAGTGGCCGTGTTTGCAGCTATCGGGGCAGGCTGTGTCATCTTCCTCCTCCTCGTCATCTTCCTCACGGTGCTGCTCTTGAAGCTTCGGAAACGGCACCGAAAACACACGCAGCAGCGGACGGCAGCCCTGGCCCTCAGCACCCTGGCCAGCCCCAAAGGCAGTGGCACTGCGGGCACAGAGCCCAGTGACATCATCATCCCCTTACGGACTACAGAAAACAACTACTGCCCTCACTACGAGAAGGTGAGCGGGGACTACGGGCACCCCGTCTACATCGTCCAGGAGATGCCTCCTCAGAGCCCTGCCAATATCTACTACAAGGTCTGAGTGCCCCAAGCTGGTGCAGCTGGCCACAAGCAATGGGCATGAGCCTGGACAGGCACACTCCTCCCATGCCAGCCGGGTCCCAATTTGGGTATATAGGTTTTTAGCTTCTTGGCTTTTAGAATTCCCTGCCCTCCTGTCTCAGGAGCGGGTAAGAGGGCAGGGGTGTGCCCTTAGGAAGCACCCTCCTGTCTCTCTCCCCTCTGTTCTTGTGCCTTCCTCATCCCATGCCCTGCCCGGGCCTCTGGTGCCAGCACCATGGTGGCAGGGTTGGACATTGGCTAGCAGTTGGCACCGAGCCCTGCCCTCTCCTCCATGTCACACCCACCCCAGACTCAGTCCACCTTTGGCCATCATTGTCTTCTTGAACCCTGCTCACTTTTAACTGTCCGTTTTTCATCTCTTTGGAAGAAAAAGCAAAAGGGGCCGACAGAACAAAGGAAGTGCAGTGAAAGGAGGGGCCCTCTTGGGCCCAGCTCTCCAGGACCCCCCACCTCAGCTGTTCTTGAGCTTTGGTGGAGTAGAGTGACATTTCCTCTGGCTGAGCTCCTTGGGATTTCTGGAGGGGGCCAGGCCTGGCCTCCACCATGTAGTGAGAGGGTGCGCGTGGCAAGAGGCGCCCTCAGTCTATCCCGCTGCAAAACTGGACTGAGAGTTGGAATACTGGGCCCTGGTTGTTGGTGGGATTTTTTTTGGGGGGGGGTATCATCCCACTCTCTGCTCCCCTCCCCAAATTCCTTCCTTGTGGGATTCTTGGGCACCTCCTGCCTCCCTCACTCTCACGGTAATTAGTGTCTTAATTGGCTGTTGCCAAGGCAACAGGAGAGCCGCAGGCATTGTGACCTCATTGGGGGGTGGGGTGCACAGGTGGCTATTTGCCCTGGAGAACGGGGAGTTTCCCTTCTCCTCTCTCCCCTTCCCCCTCCCTTTCAGCACCACTCTTCCTGCCGAACCCAGGGGTTCTGCTACCCGCTTTGAGCTGGAGCAGGTGCGCGAGCCAGAAGCCGGAGCTCTGCCCACCCCCTGTTCCTGCGGGTTGGGAGGGGAGAGCATGGGGCCAGATGTTGCTGCTGCCTGCTGCCTGGGGCCTGAGAGGGGGCCGGTGGGGCTGGGCTTCTGGAGCCCGGGGCACACATGGGGCTCCCCTGCTCATTGCCCTCCTGGGGGCTGGGCTTCCAGTGCTCCTGCCAACCCCCTCTTGGCCGGGCTCCGAGCCCCAGGGATGGGGCACCCAGCCACCCTCCCGCCCTCTGGAGGACAGGCAGAAGGTTGTGGCTTTGTTTCTGTTTATGTAAATATGAGTCTTTTTGGAAGAAACCCTGTAAAGATGTTTTGTACAAACAATTATTTTCTTGTTGCTTTTTCTTAGAAAAAAAAATGAGAACTAAAAAAAATTAACCACACAGAGAAATGGGTGTAAGCCAGTGTCATGATGTGCCTGGGGGGGAGGAGGGCAGTGTGTTGTGTGGAACTCCCTTGGGGGGGGGAGCGGTGTTTGCTGGGGCTTCAAACTCCCAGAACAGAGTGCCGAGACAGAACCAGCGGCTGGGCCCATCTTTTCTTCCTTTGTCCCCCTGCCCCATTTCCCGCCCTCTCGGGGGTTCCCCATCGGACCCTATCAGCACCGAGGAGCTCATCAGGAGCGTCCCGGCCCGGGGCCTTGTTCCAGGGGATTGATGGGGGCATCGAGGGAGGTGACTTGGATGCGTTCACCTTGCCTGGGAGCTGGGGTGGGGCCTGCCTCTGTGCAAGGCCTGAAGCTCGGTTGTCCCTTGGTGCTGATGAGGGATGCTGGCCTCCGTTGTGTACCAGGGATCACAGTTGTGGTTGTGGAGTGCTGGCTCTCAATCACTCTGACCTCGGAGATACTCCAGGGAGTACTGAGGCTGTAGTCCTCTGGGTAGTTTGAGGGTCCCTGGTGATTGGAGGGGTGGGCATGAGGGCAAAGCCAGCCACTGGAGGGGGTTAAAAGGGCAGTGGCAAGCCAAGGGGCCCAAAGAAAGATGGAGAGAGCCAGGTGGGCCAGCCAGAGGGCAGGAAGTGGGGCAACAGCCTGGGAGTAAGGCTCCTGGGTGGGGCTGACTGAGCCTGGGCCAGGGAGTTCCCAGTGGCAGCTGGGGCTGAACCTGGTTCTGGCTGCTTATTAACCACAGGAAACACCAGGCTCATCTCGAGGCGAGGCCCTCGTGGCTGGCCAGGGTAAATCTGGAGATGGCCCCCAAGGCCCCTCTTCCTGGTCTCTGGCCTCCTCTGAGGGAAGCAGGTCTCCAAGGACAGAGGGATGGCATCTTGGGAATGTATGATTGTCGAATTTCCAAAGGCTCGTGCCTTTGTGTGGCCAGGCTACCTGGGAGTATGCAGATCATCCAGGCCGGGCCTGCCTCTGAGACTGGGAGCTCCCTTCTCCCTGCTCCCCAGCCGGTGCCTGTGGCCTCCTTGCTGCCCACCCCGGGCTGCTCCCCTGAGCTCTGAGGTCCTCCTGGGAAATAGGAGTGAGATATGACCCTTCTGGGGACTTTGGCCAGAAGCATGCTGCCTTGTAAAGAGCCTTGCACAGGAATGGCCTGGCGTAGATGCCCCGGTGTGTCAGCTGGGCCCGTTGCTGAGAGCCAGAGATGGGAGGGAGCCAGATACCTGACACAGGAAGAGATTAACACATCATCCTTGGAGAGCCTGACAAACAGGAGAGGCTCTCTCCCCCCCTCTGTCTGGCCGAGGGAGGAGCTGACAAGGGTTTGGGGTAGTACCCTCGGGCTGCTGGGCCTTGGTCCCTGCCCCACCCTGGCTTCTCCTGCCCTGGCTGCCCAAGGAGGCTGTGACTGGGGTGTGGTAGGCCTAGGCCTGGGTGGAGAGAAAGGGCAGCTAGGGCAGAGCTTCTTGCCTGAGTCAGGTGGGGAGGGTGGGGCCCCTTCCCTTCCCCAGGAGAAGCTTGAGGTGTTCAGGGCAGGAGCCTACCTCACCAGCCAGTGGCGGGGAGTGCGGCTCTGAGATGCTACCAAGAACGCCCTCAGAGACCACGCCAGGCTGCTCGGCCCCTGCTCCTCCCTCCACTGCCAGCTTTGCCCCGCCCCCAAGCAGAAGAGGGGAAAATGAGAGGCCTGGCTCATTTTGATCCCCCAAACTAAAGGGTCCAAAGGTAGAGGAGGGGCTGAGCCCTGTGTACCCGCCGTGTGGAACCAGTGAGCAGCAGGCGTTCCTCCAGCACTTGGCATTGCTCAGCCAACCCAGCCTGGGAGCCTTCCTGGTCACTAAACAGCCTGTCCAGGGTTCCTCTTGCCCGCCTGTTGACTTGGTCACCCACACATCTGGTCTTCTGAGAATGGGGGTGGCGGTGGGGAGGCGCCTGGGGCTGATTGTCCATTGCCCAATGCCCAGCAAGGCCCAGGGGTCAGGAGCCCAAGCTGAAAAGCGTTTTGAGTGACTGTGGGAAGTAAGGCCTACAATGATGAATTTCCAAGCTGCTGGTCTCTCTCCTGCCAATCCCAGGCTGCTCTGGGCCTTGCCAGTTCACTCCCTTCACGTTCTTTCTCTGCTGTGCTTGTCCAGTTCAACAGAAATCACTCTTGGACCATCTCTTGGCTATCTGGGCCAGACATTTCAGACCAGGAAAGGAAAGCGAAGTCATGCTTCATCCTGGGGAGCTGGGGGCTTTTCTGTTCCCTGCTTAGAAAGGGAAGTGACCTTCAGGAGAGACGGAAAGAACCATTGGCATCCAGTGCCAGCCTCCCCGCCCCCTTCCATTTTACAGATGAGGAAACTAGCACGACAGAGGGGTCCCAAGGTCACACGGTGAGTTGGTGACAGATAGGACTAAAGGCCAGGCCTCCTGACTCACATCTGTCTCCAGGGTGGGGCTCCCCCCCACCCCGCCCCCCACAGATCTGCCCATTTTTCCAGGACTCAGTGCTCCTGGGGAGAAGTCTCTAAGCAGACTCTGAGCTGGGGTCCCTCTTTTCTCTCTTCATGCCCCTCTGCACATGCCAGGGTCCTCATTCTTATCATGGGACAGTCTGGGTGTGGTTATGCCAGCTCTGCCCTGGTGCTGGCCGTGTGACCTTGGGGAAAACTCCGGCCCCTCGGGTTTCAGTGAGGCTCTTACTGGCTACCTCCCAGGTGGTTGGTTGTGGGGATCAGCTGTGCCCATAGCCAAAAAGAGTTCTGTCTGTTATCCAAAAAGGCAGGCTGGGAGAAGGCTTAGCTTGGCTTGGCTCAGCTCTCACCTTGGTATTCCTCTTGGCAGTGACCACCGTTACCAATGTCTGTCAGAGCAGGGCAAAGGCCTGCAAGCTGAGTCAGCCTGGCATCCATCTGGCCTGAAATGGGGACCAGGCAGACCCTTGCTCCTGGGGCTGGGCAACCAGAACTGGGGAGGGGGCAGCCCAGGCAGAAAGGCCCAAAGGCCCCCTCCCCCGCCTGTTGGCCACAGAAGGGGGCCGTGCCTCGGCTGTCCTGACAGATGGAGCCATGTCGTTTGCCTCATACTGTAGGACAACTGAGGTTGGGGATTGTATTGATCTTGGGAATTCGTGTTTCTGTTTATAAAGTGCTTTAGACTCATTGGGTGGCTTGTCCCTTCTGTCAGGCTGGTGAAGCAGCCAGTGCAGGTGTGATCATCCCCATTTTACAGATGATGAAACTGATGCCGAGAGATTGACTTGAGCCCAGACTTGTGGATGCCATATCACGGAAGCATTCACTGCAGCAGATGCCTGAGCTCCTTCGTGTTTCCAAGTTCACGCTTCCCCTTGGGCCACCCAGTGAAGCAGGCATGCCCTCTGCCAAACCCCTCAACACGCCCCCACTTCCTGTCTGAGGGGCACCTCACCGAGCGCAGATGCGTAGAGGGGGCCTGACGCCATTGGCCTTTGACTCGCCCTGGCTAGCTCAGCTTAGCAGCCCTTTCTCCTGGCCCTGCTCATTTGCTGCTGATTTCTGATCTCAGGTGCCATTCTCTGGGTCCGGGCCTGATTTCAAATCTCCCTACCGATTCCTCAGGCACTCCGGAAATGCCCCTGTTTTGGCAGATGGGTATCGTCAAGTCAGTAAATGTTAAAAGAAAAATATGTGTAAATCACAGAAGACTTAAAAGCTTGATGGAGAGGAGGAAGGGTTGAGAAGGCTCCTAGGACCCCTCCCCCTAGAATAGCCAGCTTGCTGGGGCTCCTTGGACAGCGCCAGAGCCTACAAGTGGCAGAGTCTGGGCCATGTGGTGGAAGTGCTAAATGGCCTTGCCCTCATGCCTTGTGCCACCATAACAGTGCCCACTTGGGTTTGCCAAGCAGTCTGACCCAAGTATCAGTAGAGTGGGCAAGTGTGAGCAAGAAGCTGGCTAGGATGACAGCAGCATCACCCTATGGGAGCAGCAGACAATAGTGTGGCTCTTCTCAGTCCCTCTGTGTGTGTGTGTGTGTGTGTGTGTGTGTCTATAGGCACACTCATGTGCGTGCATGTGCCGGTGTTCAGGCCCCTGCTCCCAGCTCATATGTTGGAGTCTTAGGCTGTAACGCTTTGCTCGATTTCCACCAAGGGAAGAGGACAGTCACACAAGCAGCTCAAATTAGAAGAGTTTGTATGTGTAAGGGTCTGACCCCAGGGCTGCTGCTTCTGCAGGCAGTGTGCCCAAGGGCTCCCCCTGCCATCCTCCTTTCGGCTCTTGGCATCATGGGAGGCCAGTGACTCTACTTGGCACACCAAGAAATGAAGGATCCGAGAGAGGAAAGGACTTAGCTGAGGTCACACAGCGAGAGCGTGGCAAAGCCAAGACTCGGAACCTAACTTCCCTAAAGGTGGCTGGGTGGAGCTTGGAAATGGAGAGCAATCGGTTGGCCCATATCAACCCATTCGCCAGGAATGGAGAGTAATGGAACGAGAATGAGGAGAAGACAGAGGGAGATCTAAGGGAAGGGCCAGACAACAGTGACAGATATCAAGATATAAGTGTCCTGCCTGCTGGACGACCATGGGGAAGGGAAGGGAAAAAGTGTTTATTAAGCACCTACTTGCTCTTCAGTCACACAACCATCCATGTAATGGACCTATGCCTTTTCCCTGGGCTTTGACCCTTCGTTGACTCTGCAGACAGGGGGCAATGGGGGTGGAGACAGACTGCCCTAATGCCAAAGACCTGAGCAGATATGGGGGTTATGTAGCCATAACGCCAACATTAAGACCAGAATCTTCCAGGAATCTTGGGGTAAACTTCAGGCTCTGTAATCCTGTGATTGTATTCTCTGTGAAGTTTGTTAGCCTTTTACCTCTTTCCCTTAACTGCCAGTAAAAGCCTTTGGAAACCCCATCTCTGTTTCTGGGTGAGCTGAGGGAAAGGGGGGTAGGGCAGATCCCCTTGGGCAAGGCAGGTTCTGGGGGCCAAAAGAGTAAGGGGGAGGGACAGTTTAGACCAGACAAGATATAGAAGGAAAGGCCCTGGGCATGGGGGGGAATGGGGGAGGGAGCTTTGGGCCTTTCCCTGTAGTGTCACCCCTCTGGCCCCCTCCCTGGGCACCTCTCCACCTCCTCCTCTCATATCCAAGGCGTGTGCCCTTGAGAGGCCAATGGTTTATTCACACCCCTCCCAACCTTCCCAATCTGGATCCCCACAAGGGAGCTCACAGCTGGTAGGGCCAGGCGCTAGGCCCTACTCAAGATCTACTCCTCAGCCCCATTGTGGCTTGGCCCCAAAAGATTCATTAGCCAGTACTGCCTCTCCCATCCTAGGTTAGGGCTAAGCCTGCCTGAAATGGAGGCCAGGAGTGGGCCGGGGGGAGGCTCCGGGAGTGGGGAGGGACAGCCAATGAGAAGGGGAGCCTACCATGACCAAATACTGGGCTCCCAGCCCCAGGCCTCCTTACCCAGACCTTCCTCTCTCCCTGCCCCCCCCCCCCCCCCCCCCCCCCCGCCCCCCCCCCCCCCCCCCCCCCCCCCCCCCCCCCCCCCCCCCCCCCGGCAGTTTTCCTCCACTCCTCAGCCCTGCCCCCTTTCCTATTCTTCAGCCCAGGCCCCAACCTCCCCTCCCAGCCCCCAGCCCTCAGCGTCATTCTTGTGACTCCAGCACCCAGGCTTAGAGCTGAGGACACTTACCCAGTCTGTTGCCTGCTTATTATTACAAGGGCAATTTCTCTAATCAAAACTCCCCAATTACCCATGGGCCCCTCTGATTAATATTCCATGATAACAGGAACAGGCCACATCTGGCTTCAGGAGCTGCAATTCTCCACTTTGGGAGTCAGTGATTGGTCTGCAGGAAGAATAATAAACTTCCTCTGGCCTCCCCCCTTTCCCTCCCTTCCCATTGAGAGGCCCCCACCTCCTAAGCCAGTCTCCATCTATCACCCATCTCCTTCTCCAGCTTTGGGGGAAATTCGGAGGAGCAAGCAGCTTTGACTCTCCCTTCCACTGCCCCGGAGCCCACAGATGCTGTCAGCGTGCCAATACTGACTGCCTCCTGAACCCTCAGCCTTACCCAAACCCTAACCCATGCTCCAGGTCTGCTGGGCCCTCCACACACTCCCTCCAATTAAGCAGGCACCAAGGCTTGTGTGGACGCCAGGCACTGCACTAGGCCCTGGGGTTGCCCAAAGAGTCCCTATTCACAGGGAGCTGTGACTTTGGGACCCCAGCCCTTTCCTCAGTCTCCCTGAAGTCTGGCTCTGTCCTGAGGATGCCCAGGATCTCCTGGTCTGGTGGACCCTCAAAAGGTGTTTGGTCAACCTGAGTGAGAAGCCCCATATCTAGAAATAGTTCAACTAATGCCAGCTGACCTTGGCTGGAAGATCTGCAGGGAGGGAGCACCAAGCACCAGGCCAGGCAGTAGAGGCCACTGGGGACCACATCCGGGGCTGGCAAGTTTGTCCTGACTTCTAGATGGGAACCTCCCCCCCCCCATACCCCCAGTTTTGCCTTCGGGGGCCCACAAGGACATGTAGAATCCCTCTCCAGGCGACAGCCCTTCAGACACTTAGAAGCTGCTGCTGAGACCCCTTCAGGCTGAACCTTCAGGCCCCCTTTGTATGTGTAAGTAAGGCCTGGCCACTATCCTCTGCTCTGCCCCATTACTGTCCTTCCCAAATGGCTGAGGTGTGGGCAGCCCTGGGCAGGACACAGCTCCTGGACAATGAATGCCATACCATTGACCCCTAGCAAGGGTGCAGGCCCAGACTAGGCCTTTCCAAGCTTGTACTTGGACAATTGGGTTTTTGAATTGAAGTGTAGACCTTTTGGGCCCCTTTAACCATGAAGTGTGTTAGCTCTCTCTCTCTCTCTCAACATGCCATCCATATCAGTTATCCAAAGGTTGACCCACACAGGACCAAGGCCAGAGCCCTGAGGATGACTTGGATCCATTTGTCACCCCTCCACTCTCATATCACTGTCCATGCTAACCCCCAGCTCTCCATTTTGGCCACAAGATAGTATGAGAGACTTTGTGAAATGCTTTGTTGAAATCCAAGCCCCCTCCGTCCATCCATAGCATTTTCCTGCTCTCCCAATCTAGTAACCGGGGCACAAAAGGTGAGGGGCTTAGCGTGCTGTGAATGGCGGGCTCTGGGGGAAGCCAAGCTGGCTCATAGTGGCCCCTGCCTCCCTTTCGGAAGGCCGCCTCTGCCCAATCTTTCCGATGCTTCCCCTCCTCCCTGGAGAGCTAGGACAGGCTGCCATTGTGGCTTCCCAAGGGTCTTCTTCCTTTGTCTACTGCTATCCTTTGACCCATCTTTCAGCTGCTCCTGCAACCAACTTAATAAGATGGCTTCCACCAGAGCTTTCTGGCCATGCCCCCCTTGGAGGAATCTCCCTATAGCCTCATGGAGGAAGAAAGTCTATCTGTCAATAAGTATTTATTAAGCACCTACTATGTGCTGGGCATTGGGCTAAGCACTGGAAAGAAAGGTAAAATCAGTGTCTCCCCTCAAGGATCTCCCAGTCTGAGACAATAACAACTAGGTACAAACAAGGGCTTATCAACAGAGGGCAGGCTGTAAGGGTGACCTTGTAGAAGGTGGGATTCCAGCTGGGACTTGAAGGAAGCCTGGGAAGCCAGGAGGCAGGGTCAAGGAGGGAGGGCATTCCAGGCACAGGAGATGGCCAGCCAGAGAGAAAGCCTGCAGTCAGAAGAGAGTGTCTTGTGCAAGGAACAGCCAGAGGGCCAGTGTCACTGAATCACAGAGTCCCAGGGAGTATAAGAAGACTGGAAAGGTGATGGGGGCAGGTTATGAAGGGCTTTGAATGTCAAGTACAGGATTTTCTATTTGATCCTGGAAGTGATAGGGAGTTACTGGAGTTTATCGAGTAGGGAGGGTGACGCAGTCAGACCTTGGCTTTGACAACTGAGTGAGCAATGGATTGGAATGGGAAGACATCTATGGCCAAGCACAAGACTACCAACCATGGAGTCCTCCAGGAGCCAGGAGAGGAGAGAAGGGAGAATGAGAGATGTTGTGAAGGAGAAAATGACATGGCTGGACAAGTGATTAGCTATGGAGGGTGAGGAGAAAAAGATGCTACTTAGCTTGGGATCCCATGTGACTGACTGAATGGTGCCGCCCTCTGTAATAATAGGGAAGCTAGGAAGAAAGAAGGATTTGTGGGGGAAAGAGAAAATGTCTATGGGACAGCCAGTTGGAGATGTCCAATAGGAAGCTAGAGAGGTGAGACTGGAGGGCAGAAGAGAGCTTAGGGCTGGCTAAATTTGAGAACTGTTTATATAGAGATGATTATTGAATCCATTGGAAATGTTGAGATCACTCTCCCCCCCAAAAAATTATTAAGTACCTACTGTGTGTCAGGCACTGTGTTAAGTGCTTTATAAATATCTCATTTGGTCCTCACAACAACTTGGGAGGCAGGTGCTATTGCTATCCTCATT